CCATGCTCTCGCTCAAGTAAGCAGAACAAGGAGCTGGTGCCCATTCGCTCGAGTAGCGCCTCCGTCACTAGCTTCCTGCCAGGGTGGTGACTTCTGACCCACGATCCATTTTGCGTTTTGACGCTTTTTTTATGTTCTTTCCATCTTTAGAACTATTATTATGGTTTTGACATGTATCCTATATATAGTTGGCTCTTCTTTACAAATTAAATAAGTTAGACAATATTGTAGACACAATATTTTTGTATTATTTCTTCATATTATATTGAATTCTCCTTTTCTATGCCAAATGTTTTGTGTTTTTCTTGTTTTGTGATCTATAATTCATATGATAACATATAATTTCGTCCTTATCTCCTAACATATATGTACCTTCTCACTTAGAACTTCTTGTATGAGACAAGTTTCCTTTGAAATGCTATTAATGATTTCTGATGTAGTTGCTTCTTGTGAATCAAAGAACCCAACCTCTTGCCTTAAAACAGCTTCCAAATACTTGTAACGAATCTTCAAAACTTGTCGCTCGCTTGTTTTGCTCCAGCAGTAGCCTTCTGCAGTTTTTTTTTTTTTTTAATCAAAAAATAATAAACCATTTCATTAGATATACATAGAAAATGAAAAATAGAGATGCATCTTTCCTTTACAAACTTAATTTTTTTAAAGTTTAATTTAACACAAGAACCAGATTTTCACCTTCACTGATCTCTACCCTGTCCATTGATAGAAAAAAGGGAGGGGGAGACGCATATTTACAAAGCATTTTATGCTTTTCCCAACATACATGTAAGTCAATTGTTTATAATGCCATGTGAAATGGGGTAAGTTAGTGACGGCATTTTTGCCTAACCATGATACCTAAACGGCAAGCAAATTATGAGAACTAATAAAGTCAAGAAGAAATTCACCCATAAATGCAACAGCAGTGACTGCTAGTCCCAAGTAGACAAAGTATAAACTGCACTGTAAAAGGATCCCAGAAAGCAAATATGAGAGACGATAAAAAACAAAGAATTGAAACAAGAAATATAAAATTAAATATATGAGAGAATCTGTGATTTAAGGCTGACCTTTTCAACTCCATTCATGAAATTTTCTTGATTTTGCTTTGTATTATATCCTCCCAAGCTATTGAAAAGTTTGCTAACATAAACCAGTAAACAATTTGGTAACAAGCCATCTCCAATGGCTCCAAATGTGCCCATCAACACAAGCAAGATGTCAAGCCAATCAGCATATCTGAATATAATGAAAAACAAAGTTCTCCGGTTCCTAGCCATCTCTCCTCTCTCTTTCAGTTGTTTTGCAGCTTGAGAAGAACACATTTTGGCACTTATAGATATAAGAACCTTGTGAGTTCAGTAGTGAATACGGTATTAAAGTCCCTTCCAAACAAGTGTAAACAGATTGAAAATTTCGTGTAAGCAAAAGCCTTGATTTCCTCTTATGTGCTGGCCCAGTTCAATGTGCTAGTATGCAAATATGCAGACAAACAACATCTACGTGACTCATATTATGTCCCTGTTTGACACCCAATTTGGAGAAAAAATAAATTCTGGAATAGTGATTGATGGAAGAATGTGTGGTTAAAAAGTAATGAGAATTTTTGGGTTTATGTGTAGTATTATTTTATTGATAGAATATGTGATTGAAATGAAGAAAGAGAAAAAAATGAGAATGAGAATGAGAAAAAAATGAGTGTGAAACAAGGTTATATGTTATAAACAATGAAGAAAATATAGGATAATTTTGATACCAATTTGTTGTGATTATATAGTGTTATTTTTGAATTTATTTTGAACATATAGCCCCTGTTTGACACCCATTTTTGACAAAAAATAAATTCTGGAATAGTGATTGATGGAAGAATGTGTGGTTAAAAAGTAATGAGAATTTTTGGGTTTATGTGTAGTATTATTTTATTGATAGAATATGTGATTGAAATGAAGAAAGAGAAAAAAATGAGAATGAGAATGAGAAAAAAATGAGTGTGAAACAAGGTTATATGTTATAAACAATGAAGAAAATATAGGATAATTTTGATACCAATTTGTTGTGATTATAAGCGAGAAAATAATATGACATAATATGAAATAATTGATCACAAACTCAAGAATAAAATAATGGTCGATGAATGGATATTTCCCTAAAATATGGAAAAAGAATTATAATGATTTTGTATTTTTGATTTATCTAACTTAATTTAAAACACAATAAAGAGCTAAATATATATAGGGAACAAATATGAGACATCCAAATCCTTGTCTTGGTGTAGTAGTTAAAATAGAATGCAAAAATCAACATTGAAAACGGATTAGGAGAGGAAAAACCAGCACAGGCCAGCCAATGGTGCCAAGTCTCGAAAATAATGCCCTTGCCCGGCCGCTCTGGCTCCAGGTCTCGGAAATAATGCCCCTTTGATTCTTTTCTTCATTCTTTTGTCCATAGCTTGATCTCTTCAAGTCTATCACAAATTCCAACTCCCAACTTCCAAATAAAACTTTAACTAGAATTTGTCAAATATACTTAGAATAAGATCCAAAAACATTTCAACAAATAGAATTCCTCTTAGGGTCCGTTTGATTGGTAAATATGGAAAGACTCTCCAATTTCATCTAAGTTGAAAAATAAAAATTCAAGTACCACTACGCCAAAAATGAGCTTTTACAACACATAAAAGACAACATTTGATAGTTAAGTGTGGTTAAAGGGGTCTATCGCAACATTTTGATAAGTGAATGTTGCAATTGGTTAGTATAATTGAGTTTTAGCAACATTTTATAAATAAATGTTGCAAAAAGTGCCTTTTGCAACGTTTATTAAACGTTGCAAAAAAAGTTGATATTTTGCAACGTTTAATAAACGTTGCGAAAAGTTCCTTTTAGCAACGTTTATTAAACGTTGCAAACTATCCTTTTAGCAACGTTTAATAAACGTTGCGAAAAGTAAAGAGGCCTAACCCGCGAAAATTAAAGAGGCCCAACCCGCGAAAAGTGACATAACCCGCTTAGAACAC